CACATATATTTTGAGTGAGGAGTGAGAGCACAGACAAACTGTACTGTGAACATACACCCGCAGTGGGCAGCAACTGAGTAATGCTATTGGGTAATAAATAACATGAAAATCAGACCCCTTCTTGCCTCTGTATGTTTCCCCTGTAAACCATACAAGAATGAAGTGCAGGTAACATTAATACAAACAAATAAACAACAGCTGTGTATGCTCTCTTCGCATCGTTATTGTAAAAATTAAGATCAGTAATAAGTAAATAAACACGGACAGTGCTTTACTGAGAAAAGCACTTCCAGTAGCCATAGCATTAATGTCAATTACAAGCGTATTAAAGATCATTATGTGGGTTATTTTATTCCTGGCTAAATAATCACAAATTATTTTTACTATTAATTAGATGGGACAAGTCTTCTCAAGGCGAAGCAGTGGCGCAGTAGGTAGTGCTGTCGTCTCACAGCAAGAAGGTCGATGGGTCGCTGGTTCGAGCTTCGGCTCAGTTGGTGTTTCTGTTTGGAGTTTGCATGTTCTCCCTGCATTGGCGTGGGTTTTCTCCGGGTGCTCCGGTTTCCCCAACAGTCCAAAGACATGCAGTACAGGCTAATTGGGTAGGCTAAATTGTTCGTAGTGTATAAGTGTGTGTGTGAATGTGTGTGTGTATGTTTCCCAGAGATGGGTTGCGGCTGGAAGGGCATCCGCTGCGTAAAAACTTGCTGGATAAGTTGGCGGTGCATTCCTCTGTGGTGACTTCGGATTAATAAAGGGACTAAGCCGACAAGAAAATGAATGAATGAATGAATGAAGTCTTCTCAAAATGGGCATTTAATCACAAGGTCAAGGTCTTCCTTGACAAAAAGGGACTTTAGTGATCATCTGAAAAAGGGGACGATGCTAAAGCACTATAGCAATAAGTTATTTTAGCCTAGTCATAAATTTTAGTTTGGACTATCTACAAAAAAAATAAATAAATACATAGATGGTTATAACAGTATAGTTGAAAGGGTCATAAGTCAAATTTAAATAGTAAAATTCACCACCTTTCCGCGCAGAGTTTGCATATTCTTTACATGTTTACTTGCATGGGTTCCCACCAAGCATTCCGGTTTACCTCATACATGCAGTATAGATTAACTAGATGAAGTAAATTGGCTAGTTTGCATGTGTGGGTGTTTCCCTGAACTTGGGGTTGCACAAGTAAGTCCACTCTTAGGGCTGGGTTGCGGCAGGAAAGGCATCCTCTGGTAAAATGTGACAGACTAAGTGGCGGATCATTCTGCTGTGGTGACCCTTAATAAAGAAGGAAAACCTTAAGGAAAGTGAGCAGCAGCTAAAATTTAACCATGGTGCGCACAAGCTCAATTGAATGTGTGCTCTGCTTTGTGTGCCTGCAAAATCTGCCTCTGCCCAAGCCATTGAAATGAATGGGTTTCATATGGCATTGCTTTCTGCATTTGATTTGAAAGCCCGTTCACTCTGATTACTTATAAGCTTTGCAGAGTGAACAACACACTATATACATATTTTGAATGATATAGACAACAAGAAAACAACTATTTTAATTAAACTTACAGGTTGTGATTCAGATATGATTGAAGCTGTTTCAAATAAACATGGAACTTACTCTACTTGCTCAGCAACCTAAAAAGAGCAAGAGCACCTGCCTCAATCATGTACACCTTCTACAGAGGCACTATTAGGAGCATCCTGACCAGCTGTGTGGTTTAGAGCCTGCAATGCATCCTGCAGGAAAACTCTTCAACGCATAGTGAGAACAGCTGAGAAGATCATTGGTGTCCCTCTCCCCTCCCTCCAGGACATTTACTGCACCCGTCTCACTCGAAAAGCCCTCTGCATAACAGCAGATCTCACCCACCCAATGTGCAGTTTCTTTAGTCTGCTGCCATCAGGGAGGAAACTGCGGAGTCTCCAGGCCAGGACCAACAGACTGAAAGACGGCTTCATCCATCAGGCTGTCAGGAAGCTGAACTCCCTCCCAGCTCTGCCACCACTCCCCTCCCCATGCACCTTTGAACTCTGACACACATGAAAACACACACGCACACACATAGATGCATACATCTGCACTGGTCACTTAATGCAACATTGGACTACCTCTTTATATATCATGACACTGTCACTTTATCATAACTATCATGTATACAAGCCTTTTTGCACTATATACTGTTCTATATCTGCACAACTCTGGTTTGCACTCATTGCCATATGCCCTTAAATTCATTGTATTGTTTACAAATTTTTATTCTTTACGTATGTTTTAGACTACATTTTATGTATATTTTTAGATCACATTTTATGTATAATTGTATTTATTGTAAATTATTTCTTAAAACTCTTCTTTTTTTGTATTGATATTATATGTTAGGCACCTAGGGTCTGAGTATAACGTAATTTCGATTCTCTGTATGTCCTGTACATGTGGTTGAATTGACAATAAAGCTAACTTTGACTTTGACTATGACACATTTCCTGTAAAGGTCTGCATAGCCCCCTGTAGTTGTTGGTATTAATCTTTAATTTAAAGTGATCCTATCATGCAAAATCAACTTTTGGTAGCTGTTTGGACAGAAATGTGTGTAGGTATAGTTTTTATACAGCCGTGGTATAAACATATAGTATAATAAGCACTTCAAGTCCTTTTTTTTATATTCTAACGATAAATCAGGATACAAATCAAGAGGAAACAAATCCAGAGGAAACCCACATGAAGAACATGCAAACCTCACACAGAAATGCCAACTGGCCCCAAATGATTTATTGCAACCACCATGCAAGTTTTTTTTTGCAGTTATGTAGTTTTAAAATACATTATCTCTATTATATTTATTATATCTATTACAGTTTATTTATTATATACATTAAGGATGCTACAAGAATAATATGCAATGTTTTTTTTGGTGGAAATCTACATGTAATGTTTAAAAGTTAAAGGTTAGGCTTAAAAGTTTAGGCTTAAATCAGAGACTCAAAGTGCATGCAAGTTCATCATCATTCAATAAGCACAATCTCCTATAGATTATGCATCTCCAATGTGGCTGACATACATTTCAAGAGTGAAATACTGGTGTGGCTGACAGTAATATATGAATAATTAAATTCTTTGGTCCCACTTTATATTAAATGGCCTTAACTAATATGTACTTACACAGGAACTAATAGTTTGTTACAATAAACTTATTGTGTAAATACTGTACATGTATTTATTGTGTACTTATGCTTGATTAAATACATGTATGTAATTACGTCTGTAATTAACTTTTGTAATTACATTTATAAATACACTGTTGACCATCCCTTACACCTTAACCCACCCTTAAACCTACCCATACCAGCAAACCTGTCCATAACCCAACCTCTATCCTAACTCAAAATCACCACAAGTTTTCTTAAATACATTATAAACACAGTAAGTACATTGTATTTATTTTTTGATGCAAGTACATAGTAGTTAAGGACACTTAATATAAAGTGGGACCTATTCTTCCCTTGGATTTTTATAATATACAGCTTGGCTATACCTCTTGTTACTGTTCATTATGATACCACATGATAATTTGAAAATATAACAGATCATTATTTTAGCCAAAGTGCCGCACACACACACACACACACACACACACACACACACACACACACACACACACACACACACACACACACACACACACACACACACACACACACACACACACACACACACACACACACACACACACTGTTTTCTTGTTACATTAAGTCCATAAGTGCTCCAGCAGGTTACAGATCAATCGGAATTAACAGCAGCCCACCCACATGCAGGTCATCATTTTAAGTAGCTGTCTAGTGTGAGACAGCAAAATAAAGAGTACACGAGTGAAGCAAATAAAAGATTACTTTCATCAAAGAATCATAGGTTGATTTTTCTTTTGTCTAAACAAAACAGGGACTGTAGCAGAAAAATAGCACTTGACTTTAAAGACAAACTCAATTAGTTTGTTAATATTAAACCATATACGCACAATATGCCTGTCAAGTCAGCATGTTGTCCAATAGCTACATGTCCAGAACTAAATGATTTAAAACAAGTCTTGCAGGGAGGCATCAGTGATCTTTTCACAGATTAACCTTTAAATGTGACTGGACAGACACCACAGGCTTACCATTATATCACTCAAGAAAAATCAACTCATAGTTTTAAAACTAGGCCTACATACATTTGCACTTTTTTTGTTACCTTGCACTTTGAAATTCTTCATGAGTTAAAAATATTTTTTTTTTTCCAATCACACACCATAATGAATACTTTTAATTTTTTTTTTATTCTAATAGTGCTTCAGTGTGTCCACTAGATCTTGCGATTCTTGGATTATCATGTGACTTTTCTTCCCTCTCTTTTAGAAATCAAAGCTTAATTTACAGCATCATTAATTATGTTATAATTATCATAATCAGTGTTAAAACAGCTTTATATTTTTATCAAAATGTGATATACATAGTACGCTACAAATATATATAATTTTAAAAGTGCATTTTATTACATTCTGAAATTCACAATACTACTGTTTTGTTGCATTCACCCACTCATATTTTGTAATGTACCTGTAATAGATATAATTATATAGCTATGCCCAATAAACTACTATTGCTAAAACAACAAGTCTAAAACTTTTGCACAACTTGAGTATAATTGTGAGTATAATTCATAAAAGAAGTTACTCGTGCTTCATTAATAGATTAAATCTAAATTTATATGCAAAATATCTGAATCAAATGTCATGACAACTGACTGAATGAATCACGAATCAACTAAATCTAGTTCATGAAATTTAAAGTCAGCAGCTGGAAGCATCAGAATGTATTTCTTATGTACCTGATGCTACTGATTTGTGCCGCTGGTTGCATGGAAACTGATCAGTGCTCTCTCTCTCTCTCTCTCTCTCTCTCTCTCTCTCTCTCTCTCTCTCTCTCTCTCTCTCTCTCTCTCTCTCTCTCTCTCTCTCCAGACGCGT